AAAAAAAAAAAAAAAAAAAAAAAAAAAAAAGAGGGGGGGGGGGGGGGGGGGGGGGGGGGGGATGGGGTTAGTTCATGGATGTCCCTCTCCCGCTCAGTCGTGCCTGAATGCTTTCAGCGATCGTGTCACGTGGAAGGACCAGAGTGGGGGAGGGTGCTGCGGTCATCGTGCCCGTTCGGGGTGACAAATGTGGTTCGAAATGTGGTAGACTAAATGGCAAGGATAAATTAAAAAAAAAAACTCGCAAAATCGTGTTCGGGAGTTAGAAAACCAGCGGACCTCAAGCCGTCACTGTTGCAAGCGGGAATACCGGCCGCGAAGTAGGAGCTAGAAGTACTGAATTTTAGTACCACATATATGATAGCTTCCACGGTACCTCATCGAAAGCGAGCGTGTTAGCGTGTACCACATCCTTAACCCTAGCCCTATCCCCAACCCTTACCACGTTCGGTCGGCAGGTCTACCCGCCGATCTCTCCAGGCACTTCGAAGGGCATCCATCGAAAGCTAGTCGTTCAGATTCTGGCCGTTATACTCAACCAGGGAATGATAATTCTATGGAGCAGGCCAGGATATTCACGAGAACGAGACCTGGGAAAACATTTTCTCTCTACAGGCATCATGGCATCAATAGAGAAGCCACAAACGAGTCCTAACAGCATGCATGGACTGGCTGCGAGACTGTCAAGACCAATCTGTACAGCCTAAGCATGGCTACAGGATGATAATTCTTTGGAGCAGGCCAGGATATTCACGAGAACGAGACCTGGGAAAACCTTTTTCTCTCTACTGGCATCATGGCATCAAAGAGAAGCCACAAACGAGTCCTAACAGCATGCATGGACTGGCTGCGAGACTATCAAGACCAATCTGTACAGCCTAAGCATGGCTACAGGAACAACCATCGTCTTGAACTACACTCAGCAATTACTTGGCATGAGTCGAACCATGCGAAACATCGGCACTTGGGCTGGACAGATTGTGCAAGACCGGGCCGGGACACACACCCACACGCTCTCACTTCGCCTTCAGGCGCCATTTCCCCCAAGCTCAATCCCTACATGTACTACAAGCCCAAGCCGATGTTTTGCATTTCTTCAATAAGCGAGAACCTTTGAAGGACTCTGGAACTGGTCCGTCCAATCGCACAACCCGGCACGCAGTTTTCTGAATAGTCAAGAGTGATTGGTCAAAAATACCCCAAGAAGCTTTTTTTTGCACTTCGTGAAGCGGCATCTAAAGATCGGCAGCAAGGTCGATGGCATCCCGGCGGGCGTCAAAGTAAACAAGCGGTACCGCGAGCCGATAGTCGACGAGTTGCATGCAAGGTCAGGGAAGCATGGTAGGATCGACAACGACAGCATCAACCTCTTCTGGAAGAGCTGTTCTTACGTGCGAAAGGGGGACGACCTACTCCGCCAGCCAAGCAACACGCCGACCTGTTCACCGAATTGTCCGAAGACGAAGACAACCCTAAAGCATCTGTTGAAGGCAACTGCAGCAGTCCTGCTAAGGGCAAAGGCAATAAGAACGCCCACGCAGACGTGCAAACTCCACTTTCATGCAGCTTGCACGTCTGCGTGGGCTTTCTGCTTGCCTTGACCCTTAGCAGGACAATTGCTGTTGCCTTCAACAGATGCTTCAGGGTTGCCTTCGTCTTCGGACAAGTCGGCCAACAGGTCGGTGTGTCGCTTGGCTGGCAGAAGCACAGCACACCGATGTCCAGACAGATAGCTCGGAACAGTCAGACGACCTGAAAACCGTGCTTCGTACTCGAGTAAGGAAGATACTTTCTGCCACTACCACAAGCAGTCGCCGAGGTTTGCCTGGATCAGTTCAGGTAGGGGAAAGACAATGTCTTTCTGTAAACCCTTGGCGCAAGACTTTTTCCCTTCCATGGCTGGTGTAGTAGCATCGACCACACGTCTTGTGTTCATGGATAGCTCGTAGTGGGACCGCCTTGGCGAGAAATTGAGATTATTGAGGAAATAGAACAGGGAGGGGGTACGCAAACCATACTCCCTAACCCAAACCGTAACCCAAATTCTCTCATTTCATGTTTAATCTAACATGGTTCAAAGTATTAAATAGAAAAACCCTGTGAAGGTGACTGCTAGTACTTGTGGATGCCGTTCAGGGGTCATTAATGGAAACATTTACTAGTGCGCTATGCAACAGTTAGGATGCTCTTGTTAGGGGTCTACGCTGCATGTCACTCAAATCGGCGTGGGAGTTTCGCAACAGACTTGCTGTAAATAAAGAGCAAGAACGTCAGGCAGCGAATGGGAAATAGAAACATGAAGGAAGGCAGAGAGAGAGAGAGAGAGAGAGAGAGAGAGCGAGAGAAAGAGAGACCGCCATAAAAAACATGAAGGGAAGGTGGACACAGAAACCGGAGTGATACACACAACCTCCTGCACCTCGAGAGACGCTCGCCCTCACCGAGGTCTCCTCCGCCAGGCGATCGACCATGGCCCTCGACGCCGCCAGCGTCGTCTTCCTGACAAACAAATGCACCTGCATCGATCGATCGATAGCGATGCAAGGGAGCTTAGGCGTGAGCATGGCTCAATGAGCGTCGTCTAAGTGCACTTGGATCGATCGATCGATAGCGACGCAAGGGGAGCACACGCGTGAGCACGGCTCAAGAAGCGTCGTCTAAGTGCACCTGGATGGAACGATCGATGACGATGCGCACACGCGTGACAATGAGTCAAAAATTCAAGACTCTCCGCTAGTCTTGCAAAAATATTACAAATTTATTCCGGGCATTTATCCGTGGATAGCGCACAAACAAGTGCATCAGTATCGAACGGTCGATGACGATGCGAGGGAGCACTCGCGTGAGCACGAGTCGAAAAGGTATAAAGCTAAAGATGTCGATGCATTGCTAGTTTATCTCGGACTCTTATCTGTGGTTAGGAACGAAGCAATTCGTAGTGAAAATGCAAGAAAAACGTTAAAAAAATAGATTACTTTGTCTACGGGAAACACCACGTGTCGCTGCTTTCCAGTGACTCAGTTGAACATTTATCCACCCACACCGTTCTCACGATTAGTAGGGACACCGCCAACGCTTGGGTACATGTCTCTTCACCTTCCCGACAAAGGGTAGGCCACAACTCTCGGTTTCATATTATCTCGCCCCGGTTCGTTAGCGCGGTCGGTTTGTCCCTGGCGCGTGGTGCCTTTTTCCTTTTGCAGCACACGCACCCCTTCTTGAGGTCGTTGCAAAACTACCCACCAACAACGTCAAAGCTCTAATAGCGGGGTGTGGGATTGGAAAAGCGACAGAGTGTGAAGGCCAGAGAAGGCATCTCGGTATCAGGTGGTTTCGTAACTGTTCCCCCCGGACAACAGCTGCAAAAACATCACCAACAACAACAACGACAGCGACACCATTAACAACAACAACAACAACAACAACAACAACAACAACAACAACAACAACAACAACAACAACCAGCCAACTAACCAACCACGACAATCGATCGCACCTTCGGCGAGTACTTGGTCAAGTACACGGCCTCCTCCACCGCGGAGTCCCCGCCCCCGACCACCCCCAGCGGCACGTCGGCAAAGATAGGCGCCGCCCCGTCGCAGATGGCACAGGCGGAGATGCCCCTACTCCAGAAGTCATCCTCCGAAGGCAGCCGAAGCCGTTTTGCGGTTGCCCCTGTGCGTGGGTCAGAACAGGCACACCGGCGGTGTACCGTAGGGGTCATGACGTAAGAGATCACGCCCCCTTGTGATCGATTTTCACGCCTCGTTTTTTGCTCCACGGCGAAGGGGATGTGTACTATTACTGAGGAACACACGGCAGTATTCAGGTCTAAATTGCCCTGAAAAAAGTGTAATTGAATTTCTTTTATATGCTTTGTCCGAAAATATATGCATTTGTGGGCTTCAGAACAGGTCTTTGGACACCCATAAGGAGGGCACGAGTATGCACGTGGAATCAAAAGAAAGCTTATGACCACAGCTCTCTGTAGATACCTGAGTTGCGCTCAGAAGTTCTATATTGCGGACGAAATTCAGTACATGTGGCGTTTCTCCTCGGGAAAAACTTTGTTTTTTGTATTTTCATGATGGCGTTGACACTGCGGTTCATTCAAGCCATCGTGGGTTAACATGCATGAAAAAACGGCCGAGATATGCTAGGATCTGCGCCATATCTAGAATCTGCCCCGCGGGGTAAAAAATGACATAATGAGGCGTTTCTCTGTGACATCGCCGACTTTTTTTTTTTCATCGTGACCGCCTGTTCCACACATTTGTTTAAGCAATATAGGTCGAAACAATNAGCCATCGTGGGTTAACATGCATGAAAAAACGGCCGAGATATGCTAGGATCTGCGCCATATCTAGAATCTGCCCCGCGGGGTAAAAAATGACATAATGAGGCGTTTCTCTGTGACATCGCCGACTTTTTTTTTTTCATCGTGACCGCCTGTTCCACACATTTGTTTAAGCAATATAGGTCGAAACAATTGACCTTATATTGCTCAACCAACTGCCAAGGACCTGAATACTATGTTCCTCCGTAATATGAGTCAACACGATCGGCTCTCGACGTGACGGGCTGCTCCGACGCCGTCATGGTTCGGCACCGCCACTCTTTCTTCTGTTGAGAAGAAAGAACTTGAGCTTTGGAAATCAGTCCCGAAGGTGTGGTGTCTTGCGTCATGCCTGCCACAGTTTCCTCTCAGTTTCCCGCATGTGTTTTATTTTAGCAAACGAGAGCGTGATGTTGACGTAATTTTGGTAGGAGCTGTTTTTTTGTTGATGAATATTACCCTTGGTTTCCGAGCCTGGGCGAAAAGGGTCAACAACAACTAAATATAATAATATCGTCGGCTTTAGTTCCCAGCCGGGTTTGGTTCATGGTGCGTAATGTGTTGCTCGCGTCTGGTACTTGGTAGTTCCTGCTTGAGAGTCACATTTTTCGTACGTCTTCGTTCCACTTATCAGGCGGCGGTCACGGTACGGTTATTCCGTCCGCCACTGGGCGGAACAAGACGGGAATGGGGACGTCCTCGGTAGCAAATGTACAACCAACAGCTGCAGCAGCAATGCACAAACCTGTAGCGATGATGACCGTCTGCGCCTTAACCGTTCTCGAAGTGGAGCGCACAACGAACGGCCTGCTGGAAAAATCAACCTCCTCCACGTCCTCCGTCTTAAACACCGCCCCCCACCTTGAAGCCTGGTCCCGCATGCCGTTCATCAGGTCCGGACCGGTAACGCCTGCGGGGAAACCCGGAAAGTTGTCGACCTGACGGCAGGTAGCGATCGTGGAGAGGAGAGCGCGTGCGCAACACGGAGACTGACGTATCAGCCCGTCGGCGCGGTCGATGCCAACAAAAAACACGCACACTGTGTGTATCACTGCTCCCTTTGTTGGTGTCTATTCAATTGGTCGATCGGTCACAACGTCGCACGGTCGATTTAGCAAACACACATGAGATCCCCTTCGATAAGGGTACACGATTTCTCCAACGTCTGGCTAGGCCGACCAACTCCCTCTAGTTACTCACAGATGCATCAGATCTGAAACACCTGTGCCGAGCGAGTTTCTTCGCAAGTCTCTCCACGATAAGCACCCTCTACCCCAACTCCTCTCACTTCCGTTGTCGTCATCAGCTGTCCCCCCGGTGGGCCGACGTTCAGTCCCTCGAAGCAGAGGGGCTTGAGGTTAGCGCGGCCGGCATATATACTAGCGGTGTACCCAGCGGGACCACTTTATTGCGGGGCGGCGGCGAGGGCACACGCAGCATACCGACAGCGTTAACACCAAGAATCAATCTAAGAACTTGAACCTCCAACACATAAACCCGTTACACAGCAGTCCAAGGTATGTTTGCCCGCATACAGCGGGTCAACGAAGGTGCGAGCCGCCTTGAGGCCTTGGGGCAAAACAGCAGCGGTATCAACCCGGTACTGTCCCAGGTTCTGGGGTCGGGCGCTGTCTCTGCAACACACATTTTCATTTCATTGATTTCCTTTTTGCTGGTGTGTGCTTCGTACCCACGATACAGCAGTAGCATCGCAGAGGTCCTGGACGGGTTACTACATACACGCGCCCACGAGTTGGTAGTGCAGTGTACCGCCTTTCGTACCATAGCATAGAAAATGAACAAGTGGGATGTATAGGGGGGGTGTGCCCTCATGTCATGTGTGTGTGCCGTTGTTGCAGCTGCGATTTCCGCCCGCAAATTCTTTGAGTATCGGGGGATGGCACGGAGTCGGTACACAAAAACTCCACCACACGCCACGCCTTCATAGGACCGCCACCTGCAGGTAAGATGAGCATGTGCCTGTGTCTGGCGAGATCGGACATATCGCTCGACCGACGCGTGCAGCAGCCTACGGGATAGTCACGTGCGGCGCACAGCTCGGCGGACCACGGCGCTGATGACACGTACTCGTAGAGTCGTACATACCTTTCGCGGCTGGCTCGCTCACCTCCCGATGATCACGACGTTCTCCACATCCAAGCTGCTGCTATCACCGCTGCTGTTTTCATCGTCCTCTGAGCTCATCGTCGCGACCGTCGGGGCGGCTGCAGAGGGGCAGCGCGCTGGTGGAAGTGGTAGGCCTCGGCGCTGCTGTGTTCCCGATGATGCCGGTCTACCAGGTGCTGCGCTTGCTGAGGAGGACCGCGGCGCGGAGAGGAAGGCATCGCAGCAGTAACATCTGTTGCTGGACGCCGCCAGGGAGGCGGCGAACGAGGCCACTGCCAATCGCCTATACCTGCGAGACACCATCTCTTCGGTGGCTGCGCAAGGTGTGGTAAGCATTCAGTGTGGTTTGCGTCCCGCACAGAGGGGATGACACATGATGTCAAAGGGGGGCACGACGGAGAGGAACGGGAGCAATAGTAGTCGACCCCGCTTTAAGGACACTCGAGTTAAGGAAATTCCCCGCTTCAAGGAAATTTTAAGTTCGTTGGTTTCGAGATTGCATTAATTGGTCGTACCCCCCCCACGCTTGAACAGGAGGGGAGAGAAGAATGGATGGAATTCGGGGTCTCAACCTATCCCCGTCCACAACACCATCAGTATAAACCAGTCACCGCACCATCAGGCATACTCTCAAAGTCATGCCTGCCCCCCACAGACTCAGATATCCATTCATTGTTGTTGTTGTCTTCACATTAAGGGTACCCGGACGACCTCCTGCTATGTTGCCTAATTTCGAAAACAAACGCAAGAGCGCCAGAAAATGCACTAGAGACACAAAATAAGACCAGTCGGAAGGCATCGCAAAAAAAACAAGTCCAAAATTCTGGCACAGGGCAGCAGTAGAGACCGCTCAAAACGTGCTTTTCGCGCGTCTACCTCCACACGCATCCTTTGAAACCAAGATAAAAATCCACACCAGTCTAAATTCAAGTCAAAAGAGCCCAAACGGAAGGCGCTCAAATAAGGCCGGTGTTGCTAGGAACCTGGTCCATTGTACCAATATCACTAGAGGACACCCTATAGCAGCGGGGGGGTGTGTTGGCGCGCTCAAAACTTCTTCTGTGGTGGTGGTATCGAGTGTCGTTGTAGTGGCCCACAATCTCCGCAAATCTCCGCAAGTTAGGTCGACACCCAGTGTCTTGTACTGCTTGTGCTCGCCACCACTGAACCCAATCTTCTGAACTGCAGGTTTACAGCAGTAGCTGATGCCACCAGCTACTGCTGACAATCCGCAGTTGAGGGGTTTGCGGTCCGTGGTGGTGAGCACCGCTGTGATAAGTGTTGGGTTCCGCTTGGTTCCGGCGCAGATTTCGGACCGTTTTCAGAGAGAGGCTGCTTCGATATTTCAGCCCCAGTAGTATACCTGAACGTGCCAGCACGCACGACGCCTCTTGATGATATGATATCCTCTACTGATACGAGCACAACGGACCAGGTTCCTCCGGCGGGAAGGTTGTTTTCTCTCTTTGTACTACTGTTATCAAGTATGAGAAAAGAGCCAGCGTCAAAATCCCTTGTCTGTGTACCCTTAAACGAACGCTATTTTCAAATGCACGTCCCTTGGCGCACAATCCGCGGGGTCCTCTTTTTTTTTTTTTCAAACTTTCAGCTTTCCGTTGGCTTTCGTTTGAGCACCTCCGCTTGTCTATTGGGTCAGGCACTCCCGAAATACAGCACAGCCCTCACCCACACCCCTGATGTGGGGCTTCTTTGCCCATTTTGGGGTCCTGCTGCTAAGCATGGGACGTACGAGAGTAGACCCAGAGTAGACCCAGAGCAGGCCCAGAAGACTGTAGATGCGGTACGCAGCGGTCAGATGTCGCTCCGCGTTGCTGCGAAGACCTACAGGTTACCGCTAGCCTCGCTGCACGACCGTGTGAAGAAGGAGGTGGCCATAGATGCGAGCGTTGGTCCCGGGACTGTCCTGAGCAAGGAGGAGGAAGGTTTCGTAGAAGATGTCTTGATCTACGCCTCCCGACACTTCTTGTTGTCGGGTCGGAGGGAGCTGAAATATGCTGTGCGCAACATCTGCAGCGACGGACGCAAGGTGCCCTGGAACCCAGCCAAAGGCCCGGGGGACAGCTGGCTTGAGGGGNTGAAGAAGGAGGTGGCCATAGATGCGAGCGTTGGTCCCGGGACTGTCCTGAGCAAGGAGGAGGAAGGTTTCGTAGAAGATGTCTTGATCTACGCCTCCCGACACTTCTTGTTGTCGGGTCGGAGGGAGCTGAAATATGCTGTGCGCAACATCTGCAGCGACGGACGCAAGGTGCCCTGGAACCCAGCCAAAGGCCCGGGGGACAGCTGGCTTGAGGGGTTCATGGCGAGGCACCCGGGGTTGTCGGAGCGAGCCACCCACATCTACGAAGCAAACCGGATTAACGAAGACGACGAGCCTCGCCTTGAAGCTTTCTACAAGGCACGGGCGGAGTACCTGGCGGAGACCAAGCTCCCGCCGGAACGCATCCTCAACACGGATGAGACAAGTGAGTAAGGGCAAGGGCTGAGGTGTCAGTTGTGTCAGTATCGACTGCTGTGGGTTCGTAGGTGAAGTACCAGCAGCACTGCGATGTGTCACAACAACGCGGAGATCTGCTGGAAAAAAAAAAGATCCAGCAGTTGTTCCGCATATCTTCCCGAGCCGCTGCTGCTTGTCATACGCGCAGCACACAACACGCCTGCATGTGTGTTGCTGGATCCAGCTGAGGGTTCAGCATGTAATAGTCCCTGTGGTCATCTCAGTTACACTCTGCCGCATGATAATTATGTACATCGTTTTTTGTTTTGGTGCCACCGGCAACAGCGGGCGTGCGTTGTTGGGCCGAAAAAATGCATGTATGTGTGTTGCTGAACGCTGCGCGAAGTGTAATCTAATAGTCAAGTCGAGACTTCAGTAGAACGCTTTGTTTTTGTAAACCCACCAAGGTTTGGAGCTCAATGTAAACTGCGTGTGGGGTTATTGATTCGTACCCAAAGTTTTAACGAGTTCGACACTTGTTGCACAAAAAAAATGGCCCGTCACCACGCTGTGTGCCACCACCCGGAGCGAGCAGTGTGTTTGTACGCGCGTTTTTTTTGGTGGAGGTAGTTTACTCATTGTTCGACTGCCTTTACCCCCGATGCACGCATGTTTCTCACGTGTGTGTTGTAGGTTCGAGCCCACAAGGTACAAAGTCGGGAAGGCAATCGTCGCGACAGGCACCAAGGTACCCGGCGCGAGGCGTTCCAATTCGCACATCACCCAGCCCTTGGACGTGGGTACGATCGGAACCTTCAAGAAGGATATCACCATGGTGCGCACGGCCTACCCGCTGAAAAACGGGGGGAGGGATCCGGTGAAGCGCGACATGGCTGGCGTGATTGCGGAGGCATGGATAGGGAGCTTCACGCC